TATACGATTTGATAGATCGTTTTAAATGCTATCAGAAGACACTAAAATATCAAGAAAAAATTACTGACCACTATGGGTGAGGAATGGGACAATAGCGAAGGGTACCGCTAGTTTGACCATTTTAGTCAGCTTTTCTAGATTGAGCTCCGAACTCTTCATGTATCGAGATAGTTCGCCACCTTGATTTATATACTCTTCGATAGCTCTTTTCAAATGCTATAAGAAGACAGATAAATATCGAGAAAACATTAGTGGCGAGTTTGGGTCAACAATGGGAGAATATCGAACGGATGTCCGTATTTTGACCATTTCGGTGAGTTTTCTAAGATTAGGACGTAAGTGTGTGTGATGCCCAACTAGTCCGCGATCCTTACTTATACACCATTTGATGACTCTGTTCAAATGATAGCAGAGGACACTTAAATATGAAGAATGAATTGGTAGCCTTTGTGAATGGTGAGCGCTACTATTTGACGCCTATTCATATAGAATTATGATCATTGACTTTTTTAACATATGGTGGTTCGATTGCGAACCATGGAACTGCCGGATAATTCCAACTTTCGGAGTAATACAGTTTGGTTTAGGAGAGCTCTTTACTAAGGAAAAATAAGGGAAGCGGTTCGTGGAGTATTCGGCTGGTTTCATGAGAAATAGTTTCTGATTAATCTGCGAATGTAGCTATCAGCATGCTTGTGATTCTGTGTCTTAATCATGATTCAAAAGTAGTTGTTGACTATCTAAAAGGAAGTATTTACACAGCGATATTTCTAATGACCAATACTTATTTTAATTGCGAACGGAATACCGCTGAAGTAGGATTGTAATGTATGATACATATTCAATATCGAAGATCATCACAATATATTAAGAATATTAAGTTATTTAGTCAGAAAACGTTTATTCTAGTTCAAGTGATTTAAAACATATTAGTTAACATTCGCTTCATCATCAGTTGGATCATAAAAATGTGATAACTAATTCTCATCAGTTGCTAATTCAGTAAAATCACCTGATGGCATATGACAACTTTGCCGCTGCGGCGCTCAAAACATAGAAACTAGACACAGGGCACTATGTTACTGCAACAACCTATGAGAAAATTCCGTATACAACAATAGCACGATCAATCTAAGACTTCATCCGCTGACAATTCAATAACCAGAATGTACCTCGCCCGGTTAACATGAGCCCATTCCGTAGACACTTCTATACGATCTGGAAAATCTTTACACCTGCAAACTGTATAATCAACAGGACCAGTAAGATATCTCGTTGATGTGTTTTCTTCGGTATATGACCTCGGACGTTGTACCAGCAATACATCTGTATGACAGCGAAAATCAAGGTTTCTCTTGTTGCAACATTTGAACAGAGTTATCAAATGGTGTATAAGTAAAGATCGCGGACTAGTTGGGCATCACACACACTTACGTCCCAATCTTAGAAAGCTCACCGAAATGGTCAAAATAGCGGTACCCTTCGCTATTGTCCCATTCCTCACCCATAGTGGTCAGTAATTTTTTCTTGATATTTTAGTGTCTTCTGATAGCATTTAAAACGATCTATCAAATCGTATATAAATCAAAGTGGCGGACTATCTGGATACATGAGAAATCTTGATATCAATGTTAGAAAGCTGACAAAAATCCTCAACATAGGGAGGGGGTTCCCCCTAGATACTGTCTCGGTACTGATCCATCGTAGATTGTCATTTTTTCTTTGTGTTTTAGCAGCAAATGATAGTACTTGAAAAGAGCTATCGAATGGTATATAGACTCGGTCGATTAGCTTTCGGAATGGTCCAGAATCACTATTCACTTATATTAGTAGAAATTGGCTCAATTGGGATTTATATTAGCCTCTCACTATAAGACATAATTAAGGCTGGATACGGTGTGGACGGATTCTATAGGTCTAGGTTTTGTAGTAAACAATTTCAAAGGCCTAAAGTGAGTTGTTAAGAAGCAAAAATCGGAATTTTAGTTGGGGGCCGATTTCATGGCTTATCGACCCCCCTCCTTTTATAACTTTCCACGCTGCATCTCCTATTGTATTTTGTTTTTTAATATAACCTATTTGATCGGCAACATATAGGACTACCTGCATGAAAAGAATAATTTCTCTTCGCTAAAAAGGCCCCACTTTTTTCTTTCTTTGCTTTTCGAGATATAGATACTAAAGACATACTTGAATGATTTCTGTCGAGCAAAAAAAAAGTATTTTCGCTTTTTTCTACCGTCTCAATCAATGTATATATATACGGACGGGATCACAGCTACAAAATCAAATCTTGTTATTACTACTCCAGCAATCTATTCATTCTGCATTATCGTCGAACAGCAAGGCAAAACAAAATGGTTCACATAAAGACACTTCTTGCAGTCGCCATCTTGGTCCTGATTTCTGCTACAATAGACCAGGCATCGGCAGGAACTTGTGAATGTGGTTTGTGGAATGGTGCTTATACTTTTAAATCTTATAATGGTGTATCTGGTTATTGTTCTGCCACTTGTTCTTTTGGTTATGCTGCAACTGGTGACGCTAATGCTTGTTGCAAGTGTTGTTGTGAACAGCGTACTAATTATATTGGTTCTTGCAATACTGCTTCTACAACTACTTGTAGTCCTACTGATAGTTCTTGTTCTGTTAATTCTATTTATCCCGACGGTCTTGGTTTTACCTTTTATACTTATTTTGCTGGTTCTGGTCCTACTGCTAATGGTGGTGCTGCTGCTTATTGTCCTGGGGGCACTCGTAATTATGTTGACTGTGTTGATGCTTGTAAGGGTGATACTAATTATGATCCTTGTGTTCGTTGTTGTAATGCCTGTTGTACTTCTGGTACTCGTACATCTCGAGTTCTTTCTGATAATGATGATAATGATGATCTTCTTGCTATTCTTCGTATTGTTAGCCGCGCTCGTGCTCATGCTCGTGGTGAACGTCGTTTTCGTAGCAGTTAATTATCCAGGTATGTTACATAAATATCGGCAGTGTCCCTAAAATCCCATCGATTGAATGTTACTCTTTGAGATTATGATCTCTAAGATGTTTGTTTTGATTGATTTAAATTGTCTGTTCTCTTTAGAAATTAGGATTCAAGCAAGAGGCAACAATTTTTTAAAAACAACTTCTCCAACTGCCAAAGCCATCATAGAACATTGTGCTTCATTATTTAATCTTTAACTTTAATTCTTTTCTTCCTTATCCGAAATTGTCTTCACTAACCCGTTACTTTTCAGTTCCAAACTCTAATATTTTTATCTTTATCTTTATCTATATTTTCTTTAATATCTTATATTTCAAATAAAATATATAATATACTTCACACGCTTCTTTTCTTTTAATAACATCAACACGAGATTTATCAAGAACTGACTCTATAACAAAAACGAAACTTTCTGTGATCTCTTGCGTTTTTACTAGACAGTTATATGGTTATTACACTCATAGGTGGCTATTAGTGGATCGGAGAAGCAAAACTTGACTGATCTACTTACGATGAAAAGCAACCGACGGATTGACCATCATTTAAAAAGAGAATATGTGCGCAATATAGTCCCTAATGAGCTATGAAACACCAGGAAAAGAGTTTGAGCCAACAGCTTATGAATGCCGAGATATTGCATTTTAAAACTATTTCTAAACTAAATGCGCTGGTCCTCTTCAGAAATATGAGAAAAAGTGATTTTCGAATTTCGATTTGAAATATTGCGTATAGACAGGTTGATCTTAATGCGAATAGTTTATTGTGAAAGTTCCAGACCTTTCAATTCACTCTTATCCTAAAATGCAAGCATCAAATTTGCCCTTGGATATGATCAGTACAAAAGACAACTTTAACTATACCCGTAGCTTAGAATAAGAACAGCTAAAAAATCTGAAATTTCCACAACAAACTATTTTCCATTAAACCTGTCTATGTACAAATTTCCAATGCGAAATTCGAAAATCACTTTTCCTAGTGGCTCTGAACAGGACCAGAACATTCTGTTTAAAAAATATCTTGCAAAAGCAATGCCTTCGCACCAATAAATTTTTGACCCGAGCTTGTCCCAGAGTATTCATAGATCATTAGGGACTACATCGCGTACATACCCTCCACCCAAAAGCGATTGATCAATTTTTTGCCTTCCATCGTTACGACACACTAAAACTTATAAGAGTTATCATATATTAAAAAATCTAAAGCTTATGAAACGTGATTCATATGCATAGGGCTATCCAAAAATAGTGGGCCCTGATGTAAGGGAAGTTAGCAGCCGATTCGATCTTCTCTCACAATCATTCGCCCCCTTGAGTGAGCCACAACAGAGATGCAGTGAGCCAGATGCAGTTCGACGAGCTCTACCGAAAGGTGCATTCACTTTCTTTTCTAAAACCTAAGCAGTCGAATTTGAAACAAAGAAATTGTTTTTCTCGTATAGCAAAAAAAATCCGAAAAAAAAGCTTTTCCCTCTGACGACTCGCTCCATGAACCGAGCCACATCTGAATCTTCGCTCATTCCATGCATCGTGACGAGTTCTATCCATTGGTATATGTTTCGCTTTCGTAAGTATAATGTTTTAGTCATCATGACCTCTGCAACACCTGTAGCAAGGCTCTCGGTTCGGATTTCCTCTGACGATTCGCTCTACAAACGGAGCCACATGTGAACTTCCGCTCATTCGATGCATCTGGACGAGGTCTATCGATTGGTGTATGTTTCGCTTTCGCAAGTGTAAAGTTTTAGTCATCATGACCTCTCCAACACCTGTAGCAAGGCTTTTTGAGCGGATTTCTTCTGAAGATTGCCTCTACAAACCGAGCGACATCTAAGTCTTGGCTCATTCGATGCATCCTGACGAGGTCTATCGATTCGTATATGTTTCGCTTTCGCAAGTATAAAGTTTTAGTCATGACGACCTTTGGAACCCCTGTAGCACGGCTCTTGGTCGGGATTTTCTTTGACGATTCGCTCTACAAATTCAGTGACATCTGGATCTTCGCTCATCCGATGCATGTTGACGAGCTTTGTCGATTGGTATATGTTTCGCTTTCGCTAGTCTAAAGATTTAGTCATCGTGACCTCTGCAACACCTGTAGCAAGGGTTTTTGCGCGGATTTCTTCTGACGATTCGGTCTACAAACCGAGCCACATCCGAATCTTAGCTCATTTGATGCATCTGGACCAGGTCTATCGATTGGTGTATGTTTCGCTTTCGCAAGCGTAAATTTTTAGTCTTGATGAGTTTAGGAACGCCTGTAGGAAGGCTCTTGGTCCGGATTTCCTCTGACGATTCGGTCTACAAACCGAGCCACATCCGAATCTTAGCTCATTCGATGCATCTTGACGAGCTTTGTCGATTGGTATATGTTTGGCTTTCGCAAGTCTAAGGATTTAGTCATCATGACCTCTGCAACACCTGTAGCAAGGTTTTTTGCGCCGACTTCTTCTGACGATTCGCTCTACAAACCGACCCACATCTGAATCTTAGCTCATTCGATGCATGTTGACGAGCTTTGTCGATTGGTATATGTTTCGCTTTCGCTAGTCTAAAGATTTAGTCATCGTGACCTCTGCAACACCTGTAGCAAGGGTTTTTGCGCGGATTTCTTCTGACG